AAACAAAAAAAAATAGATTGAGTATGTTTTCTGGCAATATATTGTATGCTTTATGCTAATATACAGACTTACACAACCTGCAGGGGTGGAGACTCAACCCCTTCCTTACACAGCCTCTTCCAATTCTTGACAACCCTTTTGGTGAAGAAATTGTTCCTGATATCCAATCCAAACCTCCCCTGGTGCAACTTGAGACCATTTCTTCTTGTCTATTGTGTGTTGCTTGTGAGAAGAGACCAACCCCCACCTGGCTACAACCTCTTTTGAGAGTGAGAAGGTCACCCCTGAGCCTCCTCTTCTTCAGATTAATCAGCCCTAGCTCCCTCAGGCACTCCTTATAAGATTTGTGCTCCAGACCCTTCACCAGCTCCATTGCCCTTCTCTGGACATGTTCCCTTCTATTTAATGCTTCTCTGAAGAACCAGAGAATCAAAATTTCCACAGCTAAAGAAAAATGTTAGTTATATTCACTTACTTGCACTTTCATCGAGGTTATTAAAGCAAGTCTCTGTAAAGATTGCATTGAGTTATATTTTCTATGAGTTACTTCCTAGTGTGTTGGTGGGTTTTTGCATTTTCTGCTGGACAAATGAAACACTGAGAGTAGAAATCCCAGAATTCATTGTGGAACTCAATGTAAAAGGTAAATAGAGATTTTTTAAAGCTGCATGGACCACTTAATGTTCTAGAAGCTTTGATAAGTATCTCAACATATCTTGTAATGTGTATGAAAGCAGGTAGGATACAAAATGCTCAGTTAAACCTTGTACTTTATGGCATAAGGTGCTTTAGATTGTTTGAAGCAGTTGCAGTTCTGACCAGTGCTTTGTTTTTCTGTCTCCAGGCTGATCTTCAGACAAGTTCTCAGCGTTTGAACCTTTCAGCTTCTAGTGCTGCAGTGGCAGAACTTAAACCTGACTGTTGCATCGATGATGTGATCCATCATGAAGTAAAGGAGATAGGAACACACATGTAAGGTTTTAAGTTTTTCTGTTGTTAAATGAGCTTAAATGAAGCTGCAGTACATGCACATTGTTCTGCTTTTCATGCAGCACAAGATTTAAAGTAACTCAAAATTATCTTTAAAAACTCCTGTGTCTTTCAGCCTGGTTTGTGCAGTAAGTTATACTACACAGAGTGGAGAGAAGATGTACTTCAGAAAGTTCTTCAAGTTTCAGGTATTGCATGAAGTGTTCTACTCTATTTTTAATAAGTGGGTGAATCTGGAAATCCCATTTGATTATTCTTAAAGCAATTTACATACTAAAAATCTGTTCCCTTTGAAAAGTGAACTGTTAAAAGCCATTGCTTCAAAATTCACATGAACCAGTGATCTGTCATTACCATACAGGTCTGAAATAATACATCATCTAATTTTTATTAATTTATTGAGAAAGAAATCTACTCTTGGAAGAAACCCTGGCAACCAGCTTTATGACCGTTTTCAAACAGAACAAGTATTGTTCTTTGTGACTTAAATATGTCCAACCATTGAGTTTACTTTCTAAAAATCTTATTTTTCTATTAGTGTGTGTAACCTGTTTTAAATTAGAACTTAGTGGTTTGTTTTTTAAAGGAATCTAAGCAAAGAAATCTAATGTATTATATCTAGCTATTATCCACAGAAGTAATTGACAGAGTTGAAACCTTTTGTTCCATCACACAGATTTCAAGACTTGAGATAAGAGTTAACTGAGGAAAGCAGGAAATTACTGTTATGCGTAGTCTGATTCTGGCAAGAAAGGGTCTGTTTTAGCTATGTGTTTAATGGATGTTGTGTTTTTTAGAGACATATATTGAGCCTTGAGTAATTTTGGGCTCTTTGTCATGGAATAAAGGATTAGGTGACACGCTCTGCTTATACACTTTTAGATACTCTCGCAGTGTCTGTCAGTGCTGGAGCATTATATAGTTTAGTGCTGAAGTTGTGTCAGGGGAGGTTTAGGTTGGATATTAGAAAAAAGGTTCTTCCCCCAGAGGGTGTTTGGGCACTGGAACAGCTCCCCAGGGCAGTGGTCACAGCACCAGCCTGACAGAGCTCAGGAAGCATTTGGACGATGCTCTCAGGCACCTGGTGTGATTGTTGGGACTGTCCTGTGCAGGGCCTGGAATTGGACTCAATGATCCTTGTGTGTGTCACTTCCAGCTCTAAAAATTTCATGATTCGATGAGGTGGTTTCATTTTGCTGTTTTCTAGTATTCTGTCTAGATTTTTTTAAACAGTTTCAGTCTTTAGGAGGTTAAATTGCCATGTGTTACAGGGAATACTCAAGTGCTGTTAGTACTTGTGGACCTTGAAATGGCATTGATTAGTCAAAGGTGTTTCCTGACTATCCTAGGGAAAATCATTCCATATCAGTTTTTGTATTAGACTCTCTCTGAACCCAGAATCTCTGCAGTGGTACTTCATCTTTAGTGAAGGTGATTTTCATCTTCGCATGCTTGTCTTGCACTCCTTGTGGAACTGTTTCCCTTTTCATTTCTCCATCCCTTTTCTCTCAAGGAGTTTAGTGTTCTGTCCCCTCTAGGCTTTTTCTGGTCGCTAACACAGTATCTGCAGGCTCTTCTTCTCTCCATTCCCTACCTTTGTTTTTGCCAGAGCCTTGTCCAAGGTGTTGATTTGTCTCCTTGAGATTTTATATGTAAATTTATTTGTGCGTATTTTTCAGGGGTCTACATAACACTTTGTGATTACTGTGGCTTTTCACTGGACCCACCACAGCCAACTTTAGTGTCAAAACAGCTATGGGCATCTATCTGTCAAATCTGAAGCTGTTCCTTCAAAGAAGGAAGCATAAGAGCTTCTCATGCACTTTCACACCATTCTATAAATACTCTCTGATTCATTATGAGAGAAACACTTCACTGAGCAATTTTGGTGGTTGTTTTTTAAACCTGACATGGAGACACCAGCTAGAAAATCTGAGAACAAGCAAAAGGAACCATGTCTTTACAATGGGAGTGGATGGCTGCTGGTGATCAGCTATACTGTAACAATAAATAAATCCTCTTTGACAGATTCTCAGCTTTTTCAGTTACATTTTCTAGGATTTTGTAAGTTGAGCTTGTGCTAGGTGGTTTTAAACAGCTTCTTTTTTAAACCTTATATGTAGTTTAATGCTGATCAATGATGTCTTTTTCTTCCAAAGCTTTCTCTGAGTTATAAACAGCATTATGGTTGAATGGAGAAGGAATGATTCTTTCTAAGGTTTGGTTGTTGCTTGGTTTCAGGGAGTGGTTTGTGAACCACACAATGATTATTTGTATTTTACTGGAAATTTACTGCAGTGAATGGAAAGACTTTGTTTATCAGAAGAGAGAGAAAACATCACCATTTAAGAAAATTAATACGAAACTCACTGCAGTAAAATATTTGACAGAAAAAACCTCATCAGACCTCAATTAAAATTTTAACTCTTTTTTCTGACTGGACAGAGAGATAGCTATGATACTTGAAAGATTTGAACTTTATGCCTGTTCTAATGCAGAAATCTCTATAAAGACAACTTTAATCAATCTTGAAGTCATCACGGCTAAAAAGTGTGTTCACGACTTTGAACTTTAGGAGTCTCTCAGGATGCAGCACACATGTATGCAGAGAAAAGAATTTTCCCTGTGTAAAGGGAAATAAATGTCTTCAGCAATATAATTTGAATTTGTTTCCTTACAAGTATGATAGATTATTTCTTTCCGTTACATCACTGTATATACATTTAGTACTTGAATGGGTTAACCTTAGTGTCTTTTTGCACAAAATTCAAGCACTTAAGAACCAACACTTTATAACCACCTTTTATACTATCCAATTGCTTTCTCTTGCTGATTGATTCTCATGTGATAAAAATGGTTGGCTTTTTTATTTCTTGAAGCAGCTGCATTTTCAAGAAGGAAGTGAAGCCTAGTCGTGGTTTGTTGTGAAGCTAGTCACATGAATAAGTTCTCTATTTCATTTATTCTTGGAGAAGCCCTTAGCAGCTTCTGCTGCAGAACCGTGAAAGACTTGTAAATATTAGACAGCTCTTGCTCGCTCTTGAAAGCAAGTGCAGACCACTTCAGGATCGAGGATGAATGAAACGGTATTTCAAAGGCATACATCTACTTAGGGCACTGGATTTGTCTGGTTTCATAAGAGCTGAGGTGGAGAATTGTTTTCAGTCTGAGAAAACTGCTTGATAGCAAAGCAGTCAAGTGTGGGCAAGCAAGAAGCAGTGAGTATATACTCTGAGTTGTGAGGCTCTACCTGAGTTTATTGTATCATGTATTCCATTATGCAGCTGTTGTGTATAGGATCAAAAAGGAAAGTAACACTTCAGTAAAGACCCTAAGCACTTTCAAACAGTTTATGATGAAGTCATCTGAGGAAAAAATTGTCAATCTGTCTTTTTTTATTCCCATTTCATTCAGGTTCTTAAACCACTGGATGTGAAAACCAAATTCTACAATGCTGAGGTGAGAGCTCTGTGTGTTTGGGTTTGGTTTGGTGTGGTGAGTTTAGCACTTCACATTGGGTGGTTAGGTTAAGCTCAGAGTGCTTTGTGAGTACACCTTTCTGAGAAAGGTGATCAGTTCTAAATGGAAAAAAATGGTAGATAGATATCATTTAGTTTAAAGATAGATATGCCTTTGATTAAGGGACCAAAGAGATGGTAACTAAGGAGACATGTAGATGTAAATGACTGACAGTTTTGCATATTTTCCACTTTCCATGAACTCAAACACTTTCAGTCATTGATTGTATATTCAGACTAATAGAGTACTTACTGTAAGGGAGATTCACAAGCAGATGACAATTTATCAGAGTGGTGAAAATTTAAATTACTTAAATTTAGATTTCCCCAATATAACTGTGACCCTTTGGTTCAATAATTTAGTTTTTAGGTTTGGGACAGTTTGCTTCAAAATTAAGTAACCTTATATAAGCCTATTTATTTGGACATACTTAAGTCTTTGGCTATTTATGGGAAGAATTTAGTACATGTATGTGGCCACAGGCTTCAAACCATACACTGACCAGGTATGATATACCTGAGTAGGGTCAGAACATAAGCATAAACCTATAGAACTGATATTTATAAATGTGGATGGCTGGAAATGTCGTCTGCTGTGATTTAAGAATAAAAATAATCCTCAGAAATTAGGTAATTCCTCTGGGAGTGAAAGAAACTTCTCTTTAGTGTGTGGATTATATGATTCAGATAGAAAGTATGTGGTAGGGGAAAGAGGGATAGTTATCTTAAATGTTGCTATTCCTAATGGAAATAAAAACCTTTTTAAGGTAAATCCTGGGCAAACTTTTGACATAGGTCAAAAGCGTTCTTTTTTGTACAGAATTGTTAGTGCTGATTGGATAAGGGACTTAATAAACTCCAGTTCTCAATCAGCCACTAGTTCCTCATGGCAAAGATCTGTAAACTTTGGTGTCTGAGCTGGTACTTGTGGGTTTGGTTTTGGGGTTATTCTGTTCTCTGTAAAGATTTTTAAAAGGCTTCTTTGATGCCTTATGTTCTTCCTCATCATGAATTTATGAAACTCCCATTGCCATCTTACCCATAAGATTGAAAAAAAAAGTTTTAAAAAGTATTTTGGATGATGTTAACTGATCAATTTTCGTTTGCTTAGCAAATTGCTATAGTACCGCTCATTTCACTACTCAAAGTACATGAATTGCTGTTATGTGTTGTGACCATAGAGTTCAAATAAAATTAAAAAAGAATTAGAAATAAGTCTTTGGTTAGATGTATATGTAGCTACATTGCTGTGAAAGCACCAAGACATTCATCCTGGCTATTATCCTTGGGAGCAGGGAAGGAAAAAAGATGGTATGTTTGAGTTATTAGTTAACTAAAGGTCTCCAAAGATTGACTAACCAGTTAAACTGTAACCATTAATATTACAGATGTGATGCTGTCTGTTCTTAATGCCTGTCACTAAAATTATTTTCTATTAATATTCTAATTATAATCCATAATTTAATTTTTTCCTAAGACAAGGAATGGTGCTGAACCTTAATTTTCTTGCTTGTTGCTTATGTTGCAGTAGCATCCAAATCAAGTTGATCACTGCAATTGGTGCATAGAACATATGCCCTGTTGCCCTAACCTGCTGCAATCCTGGGAAGGAATTAGCTGCCCTGACCTATAGAAACCCTCTCACTGACCTTGATGTGTCTTGGAAAAGGCACTGTGAAAGGTTCTGTTCCTACAGACGTGCACAGGGAGAAAAATACACAGTCACCAATGATCACAAAGTTTGCAGTTAAAGCTCGGTCTTTGGAATGATGAATATTCCAAAAAGAGCTTTTTTCCTGATGATATTATGCCAAATTTTGTTTTAACTTACAGTATTGTGGTTTTGCTAGGACACATCACCACATTATTTTTATTTTGATAGCTGATATATGTGGATACTTCAAATTGTCTGTGAAATGACAAGGACTATTTTTCAATTTCCTACACAACCCATTGCATGGATTTACATTTAGGACAAACTTTAAACTTGCTGAAAAAGTAACTCTTTTTTTTTTTTTTGGAGGGGGTCAGTTTGTTCTACCTTATCTTGTCTGTGTGCCTTAAGCTCCACTTTGGATTGGTTCTGAAGCAAAGCTAGTAAACCCTGTAGCCATACTAGCTATAAGTGATTCAAAATGTAGTTGTCACCTTTGTTTGCATCCATTTTTATTTATGTTTCTGTCTTACTAATGCTGTCTTGTTTAGATGGTGCAAAAAAATGCAGAAATGCATTTTGTTTGAAAGTTAGCCTCCTTTTTTCTTTAACATTTAACCCTGATTTCTCTAATGTGTTCTTTTTTTATTTTCCCATTAGAGTGACCTCAGTTCTGTGGTAATTTTTATTTATTTTTTTATGAATATGTATGCTTTTTTAATTGCCTTCCTGTCTCTGTGCTTGTTATTGACATTCTTTTACAAACATAATGGAAAAGCAACATTTGTTCTGCATATCATTGACTGTTTTCTCATCTTTATATGTGCAGCTGATCATTTAAATGGTTAGCTCTTTCTTTAATACCCATTGTTGAAACTATGAGGTTTAAAATAGTGTGATTTTGAACACGTAAATCACTTAAAATTAAGTGATTATTGCTTCTGGGGATCCTCCTGTAAAACATCTCACCAAAATTTTTACTGGGTTGATTATTTGATAACAGGAGGTACGCCCTTCTAAAACGTATCTGCTTCTGACCCATGGGGAGATGTAGGTTTTACTACAGCACTGCTTGTGTGAGCCGTGAAAGAACTTTTCATATCTGGTTGGTGGAAACAGTGGGTTTGAGGAGAGAGCAGCAGTTGGATGTTCTTCCTTCCTTTCGCTAGCTGGAAATGCACTTTCCAACTCTTAGCTGCATGTAACAGTGGATGAGTTAGTATCCTGCAGTCTGATTCACTCTACAGTCTGCCTTGTATTAAAACAGGCTGCATATTTTTGAGTGCTTAAGGATTTTTTTCCTCTAAACCCATGTGATATTAAACCAAATCAGGAATAGCACAAAACTAACTTGCTTTTTCATTATACTGCTTGGTTTTTTTTTTTCTTTTCCCTATCAAATTAGCTTTTTCTAAGTTTCTGCCTCTGGTTGCTGCATTGAAAACAACTAAACTTTGGGTAAATGGGCACTTTTGAGCAATGGATTTATGGGATATAAATGGCATCAGTTTAAGTTGCAGTCAGGTGGTAGTAGCAGTGTTTTAGTTGGGCTTATTTCCAGGTCCTGCAAGCATGAGGTGTCTCTGTAACCCTTTGTGCTTGCAGAGTTTTCATTGCTCTCTATATATATACTTATCATCTGGTTTGTGTTTATAAGGCACAACAAAAAGTTACACAACCATTCTGCACTTCTCTAAAACGTTTTTTGAGACTGAACATGTTTTGACTATTTTGTCCCGCTTTTATTTTGTAATTTACCAGCAGGACTCCCATTTGTTTAATGAAGTGATTTGTTTAAACTGATTTAAAAGAAACTGTAAAGCTTCCTCCCACCTTCCCTATGAAAGTACTTTTTGAAAATGTGTCGCAGCAAAATATTTGAACTCCTTCAATCTGATTTATAGACTATTTCAGTTGGAAGGAACCTACAATGATCATCCAGTCCAACTGCCTGAAGTAGTAATTCTTTGGTAAATGCAAATTTGGTACTCCCCCTTTTTAATTAGCACTTCTTTTGGTTTTCACTTCTCCAGTGGCTCTTATCTCTAACAGACTGAGCCTTCCATAATTGTTCTGAGATTTTTAGAGTTGCAAAGTGACTTCACAGCAATTCCACAAAGGAGGTGAGGCCAAAACATCTCTAGTTCCATGTTTTTTTCATTGTCTGAAGTTCAGCAATGTGTAGCTTTCACTTTTCTACTAGAATTGCTCCTTAGATACCATCCTTAGGCATTAGGTTCAGGTGTTTCGAAGGCAGAGCACCAGTTAAATTGTTGGATGCATATAGTGTTAGTAACCTTTGGCATGATGTGGCTGAGTGAGGGAAGGGGCTGGATTTTGTCTTTTAGCCAGAACACCAATGTGTCGTAATAATGATGAAATCTCAGAGCATGTACCTGAACTATTTTACTTCAGCTAAAGAAAAACACACACACCCCTACTTTAATTTTTTCACACAGCTTTATGCACTAGTAATCTGGCATGGCATGTTTGGTGCACTGCAATTCCTTACCATTCATTCTATTTTTTTAATTTTTTTAATAATTTGGATTAAGGCTTGAGTTGCTATTGAGCTCATGAAAGTCCTGGGAGGTGATCATCTGGTGCATTACCAATACACAGTAGTTAGAACATAGAGAAATTATCCCACATCCATTGTTTGGCAAGATACCTGTTGACTAACACTTTTGCTCCTGTTGTTACTGGGATTAAGGTGTTTTCTTGCATTAATTAATTTGATTTGCAGGCATGAACTAAACACATGTGACCTTTTTTTCTTTTTTTTTTTAACAATAGGGCTGTCTGCTCTTTCCAGTAACACTAACCACATTTTCATGGACTTGCATTTGTGGTTTTTTTCAGACAGATGAAGTGTTTTTGGAAGCTCAGATTCAGAATATCACGACCTCTCCAATGTTTATGGAGAAGGTTTCTCTAGAGCCATCTATGATGTACAATGTGGCAGAACTGAACACAGTTGACACAGCAGGGGAAAGGTATGTTCAGATTCCTGACATTGACTTTGAAACTCCTTGTATTAGGATTTCATGAGATAAAAGCATTGCAGTTAGTTGTCTGTAATGAAAGGATTGTACTTCCTTGCTTGATTAGAAAGATCAAATGGAAAAATTTCTAGTTTTCTTTTTATAGAAACTATTCTTAAAACTCTATAATTATCTAGTAGAGAAATTTCCACCTTAATCAAATAATTTGTAACATGAATGACATGGTAACACAAAAACATACTATTCTTTCAGTGTCTCCTATATAAAATTTAATTCAATAGTAAATTTTAACCCACATCTGGTGATTTGATGCCTGCATACATACTTAGCCTTTTAGGACCCATCTGACTTGTGCTTCCTTCCTATCAGTAGACTGGTCACTTTTTTCAGTTGTTGTTATCATGATCTACCAAGGCAGCAGTCAAGGTCAATCAGTGAAACACCCTTGTAGGATCTTAGAATATACAAAATCGTCATGTTGAAATAAACTAGATTTCATTTAATGTCAGTCAGTAAAACACATCTTACCAGAGTAACTGTCTACTGAGGATACAAAAGTTTGTTAAGTTAACTTTGGCTGTTTGGACTTTGCAGTTGTTTGGGGTTTTGGAGCAGGTGATGTTTGGTTCCGTCACAACAGCAGCTCAATAGGAGCCAACAGTGTGCACAGGTTGGCCAAGAAGGCCAAGGGCATCTTGGCCTGGATCAAGAACAGTGTGGCAGAAGGACTGGGGAAATGATCATCCCCCTGTACTCAGCATTGGGGAGGTCACACCTCAGTGCTGTGTTCAGATTTGGGCCCCTCACTTTAAAAAGGACATTGAGCGCTGGAGCGAGTCCAGCCAAGGGCAAGGAGGCTCATAAGAGGTCAGAAAACATGTCCTATGAGGAAGGGCTGAGAGAATTGAGTTTGTTTAGCCTTGAGAAGAGGCTTAGGAGTGACTTCACAGCTCTCTAAAACTCCCTGACAGATCTCTCCTGTCATGGCTGTGGGGAGAGGACAGGAGGGAATGGCCTTGAGCTGAGACAGAGGAGATTCAGATTAGATGTTAGGAAACAATTTTTCTGTGTCAGGGTTTTCAGGCACTGGAATATTGCCCAGGGGGGAGGTGGAGTCACCAGCTGTTGAGATGTTTAAGAGGTGTCTGGGTCTGATGCTGGAGGATATGGTTTAGGGGTTACAACAGTGGCAGGTTAATGGTTGGACTTGATGATCTTAGAGGTTTCCTTCAACGTTGATGATTGTATGGTTTTATGATTCTGTGATTCTGCAGTGGGGGCTGGAGTGAGAATTCTGCCTTCTCCTTGCCTGTCAGGGCACCACATGCAGCATAGTGGAACATTGTTCTTACGGTGTTTGCATCCACTGTGATGGTTCTTGTCACGAACAGGAATCTTAGGTTCATGACACTGAAATTTGCTGTGAGGGAAACCAAATAACAGAAGGAAAATCACCAGCATTATTGTTTTAAGTGCTAAGATTCCAGATAATAAATTATAATGTAGCAAAGTGGATTTCCATCTCATTTCTCTCTGGCTCAGATGCATGAGGGGGTTTTTTCCCCATGTGGTCCTTGGTACTATATAAATTCTAGAGTTGTTTTCTGTTGTGAAAGCATGCAAATATTCCATGTGTTTTGTCACTAATAAACACACACAGAGTAAGACTGGTGAGGGCTGAAGAAAAAAGGTTGGATTCTTAAGTCATCTTCAAAATAGCTGTTTAAATTAAGACCTAGTGTTTGGTTTTTTCTTTCAGTGAGTCAACTTTTGGTGCAAGGACTTATTTACAGCCTATGGATACACGTCAGTACTTGTACTGCCTAAAGCCAAAGCAGGAATTTGCAGAGAAAGCTGGAGTAATAAAAGGTGTAACAGTGATTGGGAAACTAGACATTGTGTGGAAAACTAATCTGGGTGAACGAGGAAGGCTGCAAACTAGCCAGCTCCAACGGATGGTGAGTTTAATTTCAGTGTAAATTGAGCTGAGCATTCATTTTCAAGGCAACTCAATGAACCATTTAATAATGACTTGGAAAAGTGCAAGGTGCTTACTTTCTGAACCTCATTCTTTATTCACATTTCTGTATATATTAGTGAGTTATTTCATGTATTTCTTCAGTGAAGTGTGGGTGACTTAATGGATTGTGCACTTCAATTGCCAGAATCAAGTAACCAGTGTTGCAAAATAGATTGGTTAGAATAAAATTGACTTCCTGGATAGCATTTGGCCACAAACTCAATAGCACTGGCTGAAGAACTTCTTTAAGTATGCCAGGTGGAAATCTGCTCCCTACTTCATACGGACACTTTAGCTTTGTGTAACAATCTGTATGTATAAGACAATACTATTTATCTTTCAGTTCTGATTGCCTCTGTTCTATTCTGGTTGATTTATATATTGTTCATGAATTTTAAATTGCAGTTACTAGCTTGCTTAACTCAGCTGCACAGCCTGTCTGCCCTAATGCCTAAACCTGACCTGCATCTTTTCCATTGAGGATGATGAGAGAGATCTGCTTTGACAATGAATCTTAGTTTGAGTTTACAAAGCTTATAATTGTGTCTCTGCCCCCATC